ATCCAGACCAAAAGAAGAAATTAGAAATTCAAGCTCAGCAAAGAAAATATGCTCTGGGCCAGGGCCAACCAGCAGGCTGCCAGTTAGTAACTTGTGAACTAAATGACTCTAGGTTACCTTGGAGGTCAGAGGAGTAACAAGGGACTCCTTATCATTTAACTATTGGTAATATGTAATAGCTCAAACCTGGGCTTTGCAGGTAGAAATACTCAGACTCAAATTTTGCTCTATCTCTTACTGAATGATTCTTGCAATTATTTAATCTCTCCATGCTTCCCTTTTCCCATTTCTAATATGGGGTTAATAATAGAAGTGTCTGCCTCACACCATTGTTGTGAAGATTAACTGAGGTTACTATATCAAAATTGCTATATATGACAGGTTCTCCTATTGGTCACTATGATTACAAGTAATTAGGGGCAAGTTTCCTTAGGGCTGGGTAAACTCTCAATAGGCCAAATCTAACATAGTTTATCATCACGATCTTTATTTATTTATTTTTTGAGACAGAGTCTTGCTCTGTTGTCCAGGCTGGAGTGCCGTGGCAAGATCTCAGTTGGCTCACTGCAACCTCTGCCTCCTGGGTTCAAGCGATTCTTGTGCCTCAGCCTCCCGAGTAGCTGGGACTATAGGCATGCACCACCAAGCCTGGTTAATTTTTGTATTTTTAGCAGAGACGGGGTTTCACCATATTGGCCAGGCTGGTCTCGAACTCCTGACCTCAGGTGACCTGCCCGTCTCAACCTCCCAAAGTGCTGGGATTACAGGCATGAGCCACTGTGCCCAGCCCTATCATCACAACCTTCTACTCATAATTATTCTTTCTCCTAAAACTACTATATTAAGTGGGAAACTAAATGTGATTTAATTCGTAATCCAAAATTTTTTTCCATGTACATGAATTCCCAAAGCAAGGGGAAAACACCTGTGTCAGATGGAGTGATAAACAGAGATGCCAATAGCATTGAGCCACCTGAAAGAAAAAAAACCCTCAGATTTCTCTATCCCATGCTTCTGGCACATTTTAGCCAAAGGATCCTAGACCCCAAAAGCAGGGAAAAGAAATGAACACGTATTGAGTGAGGCCCTGTGTTGGAGGCAGACGGCCTTCAGTCCTAACGCTACTCCCGCCAGCTGCATGATCTTGGATAAGGCACTTAACCGTTGGGCCTCAGTTGCCTAACCTGCAAAGTGGGGATAATAATAAGGCTTATCTCATCCAGGGGAAGGGGCTAAGGAATAAAAATCATGTATGTAGAGTGCTTTGTATCTAGTAGATGCTCAATAAATGGTGGCTATTATTGTTTCTCTTGGATCCCCTTTACCTGAGGCTCACCACTCGTTCCTGTCAGTGAAGGTCTGGCCAGCCTTTTACTAATAACACATCAGCCATCTCCCAAAGCATTCAAACTCCTTAAAAACACGGTTCGGTACTATTCCATTGGGTTCCAACCACTCCCTTCATTCTTCTCAAGAACCTACCATTACTGTCAAAACACCAATTTTCCCAATATACATATTTGCCAATCAGTTCTATTAAAGAAGTCTAATAAATGATCTGCATTGTCCAATTAATGCCAGAGGCTCAGCTCATGAAAGAGATGGGAGCACCCATCTTCTCTGATCCAATCCAGTCTTATTTGGCCTGTTGTCGCTTGGAAACAGAAACGAATCAGCTGCAACCACTTGGCCTCTGATGAGACTCTTCGGGAAGAGATTTCCTGGAAACATCCCGGTATCAGGCTGAATGACATGCTTGCTAAGAGATGGCACACAGTGGAGACTGGATGCTCTTGGCTACTGCCATGTGCGGGCTCTCCTGGGTATGGTAGGTCTTAATCCTGAGGCACTGCCTGAAGAAAAATAGCAAATGAGCCTGCAGCTGTGAGCTGTCCCTCTGTGTGCTCTTCAGGAGACAGCCAGTCTTCCCAGGGGTCCACAGATTCCAGCGCAGTTTCCCAAGTACCATCACAGTTCTCCACCCATTTGAGCTTTCCATCACCCCAGGAAGATGGGTAGACAGCTCCATTTTACAGAGAAGGAAAAACAGAGGTCCAGGGAGGTTTAGTAACTTGTCCAAGGTCACCCAACTCATAAGAGGCACGCCCACTGTGAAAAATCATTAGGAACAGAATCTACATATTTGGAGATTTGGGCCGATTCTACCCTTGGGAATCTCAGTGTGTTCTGCTCACACATTGAAACCAGTAAGGTGCTATGTGGAAAGGAAACCAGTCTGTACTGTGGCCGTTCTCCATGCCAATAATTAGTGCTGGTCAAATCTGGATCAGGTAAATGTTGCTGAGATCTCCCTGCCCTCTGTTCTGCATTTGTGGCCGTCACCTGGGGATGACGTGTGCTGCGGCAGAAGTTCATATGGGCAGCAGCTGGCAGCACAGTCTTTGGGGGTCGGATAGCCTGGGTCAAGTCCTGGCTCTGCCCCTTACCAGCTGCATGACCTTGGGCAAGTAGCTCTACTTCTCCAGGCTTAAACATAAGAATAAAAGGAATAATCAGTAACTTTTAACAAGTGCTTACCATGTGCTAGGTGTTGCCCTAAGCCCTTTTCTTGCATTCGTTCATCATCTCAACAATCCTCTGAGGTAGAATGTGTGTCATGGCCCCCATTTTACAGATGAGGAAACACTAATATGGAAATCCCAGTGCCCCTGAGGTGGTAAGGAAAATATATCCACAGAAGGCCTGGCTCCAGCTCAGTGCCTTTCAGGAGCCTTTACATAGGTCAGAGGTCAGCACACTTTTTCTGTAAAGGGCCAGATGGTCAATATTTTAGGCGTTCTGAGCCATACAGTCTCTGTCGCAACTCTGCCTACCATCGTAGCACAAACTCAGCCCTACACAATATGCAAATGGCGAGTGTGACTGTTTCTACAGAAACTTTGCAGAAACAGGCCGTGGGCTCTATCGGACCTGTGAGCTGAGGGTACTGACTCCTGCCTTAGGTGGATGGGTTCTCCGCCTACTTATTAGTGCCAATCTTGCTAAACTTCCATAAGTCCCCTCTCTTCCTTTTTTCTTCTAAGTGCCTGAGCCCAACTTGTTGGAAGCTTTTTGTCCCCTCTCTCCCTTTTTTCCTTCAAAGTGCCTGAGCCCGACTCATTGGAGGGTGGACATGAGGTTGCAGAAGAAGATGAGGACACTGACAAGGGTGGGTGCAGCATAGGCTGGGGAAGCTCACTAGTTTCCATCAGCCAGTGAAGTGGCAGGGCGCCAGTAGGGACAGCATTTGGGTCAGTTTGGCAGGGAAAAGGGTCCTGGTTCTCAAGAGCAAGGAGAGAGATTTGCCTGGGAGTGACCAAGACTCTAGGTGAAGGAAACAGGTCCAGACCGTCGGAAGAATTAAATGGGGGCCCCAGTCAAGAGTAACAGGTTAAGGGTTCGTCTGCAGCTTGGGGAAGATGCAAATACAAAGAAAAGTTCAGGCAGAAGTCCATTCAAAGAACCGGGCAAAGAAGAGGGAGTGGGAGAAGAAGATGTGGGTAACTTTGGACTTTGTCTACTGGTGGGATGGGACCACCAAGATCCTGGCTGCCTGGGGCAGGGTGGGCTCAGGACTAGCCAAGAGCCAGGCCTGCAGCTGAGCCCAGATGAGGATATCAGTAGAAACCCTCACAGGGGAAGCAGCCAGAAGCTCCTCCTCCTCCAGAAACCAACGCAAAAAAAAGAGAATGTCACATGCAAAGCTCATGGTGCCTGTGGGGAGCTCAAGACAGGCCTCTTACTTAACTGAATCCATTCATTGGATAGACATTAATTAAACATGTACTGTGTGCCAAACCATGGGGAGACAGAGATAGCACATATGCTCAAAGCTGTCACTGTTTACAAGCGAGATAAAGAAACGCACAACTTGACTATAAGACAAAATGTTCACGGAAGCTCAGCCAAGCATGACTGTGACGGAGAAGAGTTCTGACCAGGGAGAGGCCTTTCAGAAGAGCCTGTTAGGCAGATACGAAGAATGGTCACTTCTGTACTCTCCACACGGAGCCTGAATGGTCCCCTGCAATTTGTATAAGGATGAAGATTTGAAGATCGCTCTTTCTAGAACTCATATGAACAGTTAAACATCTGAGGGCTTGTTTTCCTTTGAGAAGCATTAAGACCTCAGAGCTCCCAGAAGACAAAGGAAGCCTCTTAATAACGAACATTTAAAAAAAAAAAAAAAAAAGGTCTTGCCCTCAGAGTCCTTCCTAGAGGCGGACTTCAAACAAATTGTGTATTCCTCTCATCAAACGGCCTGAAAGAAAGCCTTTTTCTTCATAATTTCAGTTTCAAGAGAAGTTAGAAGCTGTAGAGCTTTAGAAGGAATGGTTGTCAGGAACTAAACTCTAGCTCTATAAACTGGTTTTAAAAAACCCCAGGCTCACAAAGATAATAAAAAATGCATTTAATAGCATGTCAGTATACAGCTTAAATGTGTAGTAAGTCTTCTGTTAGTCAGTGCATTACAGGGATAAAGAGGAGAAATTTCATTTGGAATGCACAGTCCAATGCTAGGTATAGGTGTGGAGAAATCTTGGTGCTCTGAAACTATTAAAATTCCGTTTTATGAAACATCACTCCAGGTGCAGGGCGCTGTGCCAGTGCGGGACTCATCTGGTCCGGTGTGCAAGCTACAGTTTTCAATTAAATTGTATACAAGTATTAACAAAAGAATAAAATTTATTATTCACAAAACTAAAGTGGTTATCGTAAAGCTTACAAGAGAGTACAGCCTAGAACTAATGAGTTGAAAAACTAGTTTTAAAAATAATAAAACTTACTGGACAGTTTTGGAAAATGATATTATAAAACAACGAAAACAATTGGCACAGTTTAACCACCTAATTTCTAAGTGCACTTTGTAATGTTCCTTGCAAGCTGCCACTTTTCCCAGGATAATGACAAAAAGCTTCAGTCAGGTGTCACTGGCTTATGGTGACGGTTTTTTTTATTGCATTGCCAAGAGTGGATTTTAAGAAAAAACACTACAAAGGTTTCAAAAACCCTATTTATTCTCTATCATCAAAAATAGCAACAGGGGGACTTATACAACTTTTCTGTGAGTACCCACCAGTCTATTTTTTTTTCTTAAAAAAAATAGAAGTTAGTTAAAGAAAAATGATTTGGTTTTTAAAAAATAATGTAAGGAAACACTTAATCAGATAGCCCAAGGAGTCATCAGAAATATGTGTAGCAAGAAAGCTTCATTTTCGGCCCTCTCTGGCCTTTGCACATCTTTTACTAAACTAGAAAGAGAATGTACAGTACCAATATGTTCCCCAACCTGCTTGGATCAAATTGTTTGTTTTTAAACCCATTATTGCTAAACCAGAGTGTTGACACTGAGCGCCGAGAAGTCCACTCATAGAGGATAAAATTGAGAGGCTGCTTCCGAGGACTGGATCTCCACCTGGGCCATTTTGAACTGAGTGCACTGCAGCCACTTGCGGAGGGCTGCCAGGCCAGCACTGCTCTGGCCCGAGCCCGGCAGCGTCCTTAGGCTGTGGTGGTTCACGTGGTTCTGAATAGCCTGGAGGCGAAGCTGGAGTCCTGCAGATAAGTGCTGTCAAGAAAGGGCAAGAGGTTTTAGTTTATTTCTTTCTAGTGTTCCTGGGCAACCCAGGGAGCGTCAACCCAGGCGGCTTCTTGCAGGCAGAACTTAGGCTTGGCTCAAGGGTTATCTGGCCTGAAGAAGGCAAACTCTCAACTCTGGCAGTGCCCAGAGCAGGGGATCGCAGCGTGTTTTCTAGAGTCATCCTGGCCCAACCCACCAGAATAATGACATGCCCATCTTGACGGACTCACTGCAGTGAAAACATAAAGCTGCCACACCAGTGCTGGGCTAACACATAAACTTGGCCCCAGGGAACTGTTTACGACAGGGACCTGGGTGTGGTGGAGAAGTGCCCGGGTTCTACTGCCAGGCTCCCTGTGTTCAAAGCCTGGCTCCTCTATAGGCGACTTTGGGAACAAGGTTTATTGGTCTGTGTTTGGGTTTTCTCATGGGAAAAGGGGGGAGAGTTACACTTACTCAGGGGGTTTGTGTAGGACAAATGGGTTAAAAGAGTGCTCAGAACAGAACTTGGCACAGGAAGAAGCTAGGATAATAGCTTTTCTTCTTTCTCCAAGCTTCTTAGGGAGTTCTGTCGGCCTCCTCCTGGCCATCTGGGCAATGTAAAATCACCACAGATTGCCATAAAGCCGGGAAAGGGGTAAGAGAGGCAATTTAAAATGCTTCAAGCTGAGAGTGCAAGAAACTCTTTTCACAGAAAAAAACTAGTATCAAGAGGCAGTTTTCAGCAGTGCCCATGCCCCCGATGGCCGCCACAAATAGCACCAAGGCCATAATCAGGACTCAAAGGCTGTGGTCCTTGTAGACAGCTGCGTTTTTCTCTTATAGTGTCTGGGCACCCTGAGTTCATACCGCTTTCCTTCCATTAGCATGCCTCCTCAACTCAGAGAAGAAAGCCACAAAAAACTTTCCAGCTTTTCCTCCTGTCCCCACAACACTTAGTGCGACAGACAGGACCCGGTTTGGATGGAGCAGGCGGCAGGCTTTGCCATCTTAAGTCAAGCCCAGTAACTCTGTTTGCTAGTCATAGAGTATGTTTGCCCCTACAATGACAAAGCGCCACTCAAGGAGAAGCCTGGGGCTGGGAAATAGATTCGGTCGGAATCTCCTCTTCCAGGCTGTGGGGTCCTGACCAAGTCACTCTTACTTTTGGTCCTAAATTTCTTCATATATGAAATGAGGCAGTAGGTTCCTTGTAGCTCAATCCTTTTATTCAATGTTATCCTTTCATAACAGAATTCTTTCCATGATAGAAAATCAATTTTAGCAACCAGGACATATCATTGAATGTGTCTGGGTATCCTCCAAGGGGTCAGTATTCTATTCTTTTTGTTTTTTTTTTGAGAGACAGGGTCTTGCTCTGTCTATTTATACACGATCTTGTTATCTGCAAACAGTGACAGTTTATTTTTTTACTTCCAATTTACATTTCTTTGATTTCTTTTTTTAAAATAAAGACAGGGTCTCACTCTGTTGCCTAAGCTGGAGTGCAGTGGCAGGATCATAGCTCACCGCAGCCTCGAACTCCTGGGCTTCCAAGTGATCCTCCCACCTCAGCCTCCTAAGTAGCTAGAACCACAGATGCATGCCACCACACCCAGTTAAATTTTTATTCTTCGGTAGAGATGGGGTCTCACTATGTTCCCCAGGCTGGTCTCCAACTCCTGGCCTCAAGCAATCCTCCCACCCTGGCCTCTCAAAGTGCTGGGATTACAGACGGAAGCCACTGCACCCAGCCTTGGCCTGTACTCTCATCAGTGGATTGAGGCTCGCTCAGACCCTGGGATGCTCCCCGCCATCTGTATGCTTACCAACCTCAAGCAGTAGGACAATGGCTCCTGCCGCCACCCCCTGCCTGCAGAGCCCTTACCTGGCCCACAGGTCTCCTGCATTATCAGCCCTCTAAGGCCAGGAACAGGTTGAATTCATCCTTCTCCATAGTAAATGGAGCATCAACAATCCCTAGGAATGTTATATGTTCTCTGCAGGAAACCAAGCTTCCAATCAGCCCAGGGGGTGACTTACCTTGATATTTGACTGAATCATTGGCAACCACATAGGTATCAGCTGTATGGAGAAAGACAAAAGCTTCATTATTAGCGTTCTCTATTCTCCCACAAAGCTTCGCTTATTGCAAGGGAAAACAGGCCACACTGAATCCCTTTCACTTTGCGCATGGATGTGGGCCCTGCGGCAGAGCTACCCGTTATCAGCACAATGCCTTTCTGAGGCCAAACCCTGCTGAGCCAGTGGCATTTGGAGGTTAATAAGCGCCCCATGAGTGCCTGAGATACACACTTTAGAGTAAATGACTGATTGTCTCCCGAAAGCTACTAAGCACAGGAAATTAAATGTGTATTTATTTAATTAAATCCTCACTTTCTTGAAATAGAATTTCCTCCACAGGATCTTTAGAACTGAGTGTCTGAGTGGAATGGCGACTCTATTTGCCTGTAGTCATTAGGAAAATATCTCTGGTCAGTGGTTGGAACGCTTCAGTGAGTGAGGAAGGCCACTCCGAGATGCCTGGCTGCGATCTGGAAGGCGGAATACAGCGAGACGGAGCCGGGTGTCTGCAGGGTGTGGGAGCACACACAGCCAAGCAGCAAGTCCCTGGTGGGGAGCCCCGGCCCTCTGCTGCTTCTCTGACGGACCCTCAACCCCTCTGATGTGGTCCTTCCTGGGAGGAGGTCGCAGGGTGCCCTGGCCTGAGGACTTCCGGAAGCTGCTCCTTCTCTCTGCTTTGGTCCCTCCGCCATGTTTCAGTCCTTTAGGATCTAAGTAACTATTCATGGCCTTGTACATCCAGAAGTCGGAGACAGAATATGGCACTTCTCAAAGCGTGTTCCATGGAACTCTAATTTGGAGAACTTTCAAATGGTGGAGGGGGACTCCAATCCAATAGGTTTGGAAATGTTAGTTTCTTTATTTCAGTACTTCTTAGATCTTTAATACACCGATATGTATCATATCGTTTCGAGCCATACACCTTCCAACTCTCCACTCAAATAAAGGAGTAGTGTTGTCATGGACTGAATTGTGTCCCACTAAAATCTATACTGAGGTCCTAATCTGCACTGCATCAGAATGTGACCTTATTTGGAAATGGGATTGTTGAATATGTAAATTAGTTAAGATGAGGTCATACTGGAGTAGGGTGAGCCCCTAATCCAATATGACTGGTGTCCTTATAAAAAGGGGAGTTCAGACACATACACAGAAACACACAGAAAGCATGTTATGTGAAGATGAAGATGGGGACCTACAAGCCAAGGAACCCCAAAGACCCAGCAAACCACCAGAAGCTAGGAGAGAGATCTGGAACAAATTGTCTCTCCAATCCCTTAAAAGGAACCAAACTTGCCGACACCTTGATCTCAGTCTTCTGGTCTCCAGAACTTCCAGGGAATACATTTCTGTTGGTTGAACCACCCAGACTGTAATACCTTGGTAGTCCTGGGAAGCCAGTACAAGGGCATTCCAGGAAGCAGAGAGAAGGCATGGGCAAAGCTCACTGGTGGGAGTGTGCAGAGAGTCGGGGATGGGAGACAGGCACGTGATGCTGACATGTGAGGCTCTTAGAAAAGGGCCATGAAAAACAAGTTTAGAAAAGCACAGGCCAGCCCTTCACACCCTTAGCCCACCAGATGGCCCTAAATGCTAAATTAGGGAATCTGAATTTTATTCCAAATGCATTACAGCTTCTGAAGAAGCAGGAATGTGCTCAAGAAAGATCACTGTGGCAGCAACCTGCAGATTACAGTGAAGAAGGAGGCAGGGAATGGAGGCAAGCGTCATTGTGGAGGTTGCCTCAATGGTCCAGAGAAGACCAGGGACAGTTTCTGGGGATGGGGAAGGATTCCGCCTGCAGAGACAAATCTTGAGGATCTGAGGATGAGTCTGCTCTTTGCTCTTTCAAGTGACGGAAAGGTCAAAGAAGAGGTAGAGGTTTCTAACCTGCGCAAACTGGGGGACAGTGATGTAATGGAAAAAAAACGAAAGAAGAAGGAGAGCTTTTTGGGATGGGGTACGGTATGTAAATGACCTCAGAGTTCAAAGTTAGTCATAGCCATAAGCTGCTGGTTTCATTGAATTCATCACATTTTCTTTAAAATGAACTTGGTGAAGTGATAAGCTGAATTTCTCTCCCTGTTTTTGATCCCAAGGCTAAATCTGGCTGTTGACTTTTAACATTCTGTTGGTGTATACAATTTGCTAATTTGACTTCCATTGTCACTCCTAAACATTCCTAAACATAGTGTTTCTGTTGCAGCTAGCTAATACGTGGTCTCTAACATGAATACTGTGTTTAGAAATGGAGTATGGTGTGTATCAGAAAATGTCATGAGACTAAAGCTGAAAATATCAGAAAATGCCACCGTCTCCATGCCTCCCCCCTGTCCCCCAACCCTCGTAACAAAACTGTGGGATTACAAAGGTGGGTACCAGATAAAGCTGTGCCCTCTCACCCTTACTAGGACTGGCTCCTCTAGGCATTCTGAATGGAAAAAAATATTTATCTAGTCTAACTGTCTCCCCCTATAATTTCTGCACAGCAAAAAGCAAGCCCTGGAGGGTCCTGATGTTATAGACTTTGTTGACCTTTCACTATTTAATATGGAAGTGGGCCCATACGCCTCTTGATATTTGGGAAATACCCAAACTAACCTCCTGTTAAGAATCGTGAGGGACTTGGGAAGAGGAGGGTCAGGGAGTACTGAGTACCCTGTCCCTGGGTGGATACCTTTCCCAGTGCTGCCACTGGGGCTAAGGGTCTGTGCGAAGCAAGCAAGAGGAACAGTGATGTTGGTCTAAAAGGGATTTTATTATTTCCCCATTGATGTAATCTATGACCATGTGATTCTAAAATACACCTGCAAGGGACCTTCAGGTTTGTGATTTGCAAATCACGTGACTAAAGGCATCCAGTTAAAGCTCATCGTTATTGACAACATTGTATAACCCAGCCATCATCCTATTTCAGGAATGTTAATTTGACTTATTGAATAACTTTCATTTTCATTCTCTTTTGCTAGTGGCTACTACAAATCTGTCAGTAAGAATTAGATGTAATTTATTTTGGGCTCTGCAATGTTATAATGGAGTAAAGTTGGTTGGGTTCCCCCCCCCGCTTCAGAAACAATATCCTGAAAACTGAAGGACATTTAAAAAATAGGTTTTCACAAAAATAAAAGTGATACCCTTCCTCTTATCTTGGTTCATGCTACAGAACAAACGGAAGACTTCCTGCCTGGTTGGACTGTACTCATTTCAATCCTGCTTATTCCAGCCCTCAAAATTAAAATTGGTGATGAAACTTTCTCTTTCAGCCAAGATGGAGTAACAAAGACCAGATTTACCCTCCTGCCTGGAACAACTAAAAATCCAGACAAACTATAAAAAACAATGTTTTTCAGGTATTAAGCATCAAGAAATGCAGGACAGAGATCACTGAGGGAAAGGAAACAAACCAGGTGAGCCCTGCAGGTATTCCAGCTCACTGCCTAGAGAGAGTTTCCAGGCAGTAGCACTAGGAGCAGGAATGCAGGTGGAGCCTGGTAGTCTTCCTGAATGAGGAGATGTAGCCAAGAGCCCTGGGAGGTCAGAGTGACTACAGTTTGCAAGGTAGAGTACTGGACAGGAGAGATCTACAGAGAGAGAAAGACAACTCCAAAGATCTGCAAGGGGATCCCCTGAGTCTTCAGCTGAGTGTTAGCCACTACATGCAAGTTATAAAAATTATCCAACACTGGAGGAAAAAACAACCCAAAAATATTAGAAGGAAAAAATCCCCTGGTGATTACATAGGGCCAAGAATATTTTGTGTTCCTATTAGTCAGAGTGGAAAAATCTTGTAACTCATAGAACATCACGAGAGTACTGATGAGTATAGTGGTACACAGCAGCAGTGGTGAAGAACTACGTGCCCTACAAAAATTGCTGCTCTCATCAACACCTAACAAAGCTTAAATGTTAACTTCAGAAGGACAAAAATATTTGTAAGGTATGTAACTATGTCACAGAATAGAGCTTAAGAATTTTTATATGAATACAAAAATACTCATCACCCAAGAAAGTCAAATTTGCAATGTCAATAATACAATAAAAAATTACCAGGCATGCTAAGAAGCAACAACAAAAATTACGACACATGAATGAGGAGAAAAATCTGTCAACAGAAAATAAAACAAAAATGACACAGATAACAGAACTAGTAGACAAGGACATTAAAACAGTTATGATAACTATATTCAATATGGTCAAGAAGGTAGAAGAAAGATTGAACATGTTGAGTAGGGGCACTGAACAAAATATTTGAAGAAACAATGGTTGATACTTCTCCAAATCATGAAAACTATAAATTCAAAGATCCAAGAAGCTCACCAAACCCAAGCACCAGAAATACGAAGAAAACTCTACCAAGGCATAGCATCATCAAATTGCTTAAACATAGTGGCAAAGACAAAATCTTCAAAGCAGCCAGAGGAAAAAAAGACATATCACATACAGACAAAAAAAAAAAAAAAAAAATGAATGACAGATTTCTTGTTGGAAACAATATAAGCAGAAAGACCATGGAGGAGCAGTATCTTTAAAGTATTGGGAAAAAAAAAAAAAAACTCTGAAACTGTCCATCTAGAATTCAATACCCAGTGAAATTTTATTTCAAAAATGAAAGCTAAATAAAGCTTCTGAGACATACAAAACCTAAAACAATTAATCACCAGTTGACCTGCACAGAAGACTTTACAGAAAATCCTTTGGGCAGAGAAGGAAAGATGAAAGATGAATGTTTAGATCTATGGTATGAAGTGAAGAGCACTAAAATGGCAAATATAAATATGGCAATAATAGCAAATGTAAATGAATATAAAATTTGTTTAAAATCTCCTTAAGAGACAATCAACTGTTTAACGCAAAAATAATAATGTATGATTTGCTTTATAAAATATATAGAAGTAAAATGTATGACAATAATAGCATGAAGTCAGGAGGTGGGAAATGGAGGTATGTTATTGTTCAGTTCCTATACAATACATGAGGTGGTATAATATTCCTTGAAGGCA